AACAAGCGACGACTAAAACTTAGCTCTGGAGATCATTCAGAGTTACGACCTTGACAATATATTAAGTTCAAGATCATCGGTGCAGAGTCCGTTATTCGGTATATTTATCGAGTTTTCTTTGTTGAACAATGTTATCAATTAAAATTGATATATGTGAAATCGGATTATGAATCACATTATGTATGTACAGCCAGTCATAGAAAACTCATGGAACAATTGGTTATTACTTATGGATCTAATCATTTACGTGCTCTATGAGCAAGGCTGAATTCCGAAATACATCGAAAAAAAGTGTTGCAATCTTTCTGTGAGCGGCTGTATGTGTATAAATATAAAATTCTATATTTTTATTTTAAGACAAAGGGTATAGGTATGGAGTATAGAGAATAAGAAGCTGAACTAGACTTTGAAAAATGTGGTCAAAATCAGATTTCTGAATTAGTTTGGTGATGCTCGGTAGGCGGCGTTCGCAAAACTCATACGTTTACGCAACCGAACACACATAATCTAAAAATAGAGACGTTATTCTTTGACATCATGATAAGAAGACATAAATTGTTATTAAAACTGCATGAATGGAGCATTCTGTAAAATTGATATGACCTACCATGTAAACTGTGAGAATGGTGACGTGGAACGAAAGCGACATCTCGATTGAACTAATTCAGATGACCACTTTTGACCACTTTTGACCACTTTTGACCACTTTTTCATCCATGTAAGTTCGGCCTCCTATTCTCTATACTCCATAAGTTTAGCACAGGGCCTACAAGCTGCCGTCTTGTAATACTGAGGCCACGGAGTAATAAGGAGATCGAACTCGAGGTCTGAAAGTGGACTCGAAACATAGTGTAGGAAAATCCATGGAAAATTCGGCAGATGTGATTTTAGTGCCATCACGTCTTGCAGAAAAGTTGGAAGTATTGACTGTCACGTATTGACTAGTCACAAGTCATACGTATGTATGTAGTAGTAGATACATACCTGTGACCACGTGACAGTCAATACTTCCAACTTTCCCGCAAGGCGTGATGGCACTAAAATCACATTTGCTGGATTTTTCATGGGTTTTCCTACACCATGTTTCGAGCCCACTTTTTTGTGACTAGCCGCTTGAATTTGATCTCCTTATTACTCTGTGGCTGAGGCTGACAAGACAGTTTGTAGACCCTGATATAGCGGGTTAAGAAAGAAATTTCGGGCCTCACACGGTCCATTCATCACCACAGGGAGTAAAATGAACCAGATGAATGTTTTGTACAGTTTTTGTACAAAGTGAAAAAAAATGCATTGATTACTTTTTTATAAAAAAAGATTAAATACAAGTTATATACGTTACATTCGGTTACATGATGCAAAAGACACCGTGATAGTTTTGCTTATTATATTTAAAAGTTTTTTCACTGCTTTTTTATTGCAGTTTCCGTGACTCTTCATAACTACATACTATTACATTCAATAATATAACAGTTTCCTAACAAGTTTTATCAAACAACACTCAAATGTTTAACCCTTCACAAAAAATGAAAACCTATCTCAGCAGTCCTATTGCCCTTGTTCTTATCTGAGTTCGGTAGCGCGTTAAAAAGTTTTTTAAGTCCCTGCTTTATTTCTTTAAATATTAGTTTCAAAGGATATCCATTATCTAACAGTAAATCATTAACCTTTCCGTCTTCACTGACAGGATAACATTTTGATCTTGCCTCTTTGGCTGGATAATTTTTTAATATTTTATCTTCAGTGAAGGTAAAGATAAATCTGATAGAAAATTCGCAATTTGCTAGCCAAAAGAATCACAATATAACAGTTTTCATAGAAGTAAATAATTGTTTCAGTCTTTTGTGTCTATCATTTTTTTAAATTTGACATCAGATTCATAATTAGCAATTCAAAGAACCGATAGATATCGATTTTCAAAAATATTCAACAAAAATTCATGCTCCAAAGCGTTATTAATGAGTGTGATATTTTCTTAGTAATTGGTAATCTCTGACGCTCTATATTTCTGAAACCAATCACATGCTCAACATAAAACTATTTGTGATTAATATCTCGTCATAAGCTACCGTTTGACATAAAATTTAATTAAAATCGAGGACCGATAAACAGGCAAAAAATCCTTTTTGCGGATATTCTATTGATGTTCTATGGGCATCTAATAAAGAAATTATAATATTGGGTCATCTAAAAAGTATCCGCGGTTTTTTGTCACTAGATATATGACCATCAACACATATCCAGTGACAAAAAACCGCGGATACTTTTTAGATGACCCAATATATAGGAAATCTGTAAATTTATTTATTGCGAAAAAATCTCAGCCAGATCTCTAAATAACCTTCAAATCACCGAGGTCTTAATAATTTTATAAAGATAAAACGAATTTTGAATTAAATAGTCCTGTAAGTCAGAAGCTTGAAGTCATATTAGGGTAAGATATGTTTATGTGTTTAACAAAGTGAGAAATTGGTTTCTTTGCTTTAAAAAAAATGCAGTAAATGCTGAAATCAATTAAATTAATTTTTCTAAAGGAAAAAAAAATGGAATTTTTGTTTAATCTACGGTTTTAATTTTTTTTCTACGTTCCATCAAATTTCAAAATCTGAAAAAAGTAAGAAATATAATTTATAAAATTTAATTGCTGAATTATTTTAGAAGTGATCAAACATTCAAATCATATAAAAAATGCGATTTTAAAAATTCCTGAATTTTTTAAAAATTTTGAGTTAAAAGTGACAAAAAAATTTTTCACTCTAATCTTTTTAATACTCTTTATATTCATGATTTTTTGGTAAAGATCCGTTTAGATTTAACGAAGAAAAAAATTCCTATTAATAAAAAATCACATTTTTTTCTCAATATCTCGAAATGGTGTGGTTCTTTTGAGATAAAACTTCGTAAAAAATATTCTTTCATCTGAGTGTTCATTTTACCTCCCTGTGATGCATTACGTGCGGGATTCAAAATCCCCTCCTTATCCATTTGTTAATTTGTAATTTTAACTATTGTAAATTCCATTTTTTTTCCTTTAGAAAAATTAATTTAACATTGATTAATCATTTATAATTTGAAAATTTTAGGATGCACATTACGAGAAAATATTATATGACATAATTACATATATAACTATATAATTACATATATAACTATAGCCTTGTAATTAAATGTAGACGAACAAATTTTTTTTAATGCCTATCGAACACATTCCGTTAATATGTATTTTTGTTCAATAGTCGGAAATTAAAATATTTGATGATTTATTCTAATTAAGTTAATGTTTAAATTGTAATTTTATTATAAGTAAAAATATTATTATTAATCTTAATAACATATTAATTATATAAGTTATTATAATTATATACTAATCTAATTATATAGATTTTAAAGAAGTAGAAAAAAATATATTTATTAATGCTGCTTAAGATGTTGTTTAATATTCCGATTACATATTTTACACATTTTTTACACATTTTTTACAGATATCAATATATAACAAGGATGAAGAATGTCAGAATTAAGTAACATTGTTCGACAAAATTGATCTTTTTTTTGTCATACTAGCATGAATAATAATTTCCAACTAATTTCCAAATATTTTTGTTTGCTGAACATGAATCCGTTGGTGAAAGTTGGTTTGGCTATCGTGTCAAAATTTTGAAGAAAAGAAGATGTCGAAGATGTCAAAAATTATTATTTTAAGAGTTTTCAAGATATTATAGCATCGATAACTAATTTGTTTATTATTTAATTTTGTTAATATTATATGAGAATATCAACTTTTATTTTTAAAATACATTTTCCCAAATAGCCAGACGTGGCAGTGCGCATGCAAAGTACGCATGCAAAGGATCCCGCATAAAATCGTAGGATTTTGGACCTCGGTAAAATTGATTGTAATTTTAATATGTTATAGTTCTTGATTCACTGATCAAAAGTATCCATAAGCACAAAGCTTGAAAATGATCGGTTTTTTGTTATAGCCGTTTAAAATTTTATTTTATTAATGCTTCGAAATCAAGTTTCTGTCATAAAAAGATTTTAGATAACAATATGCTATCCTCTCACCATCCTCACTATCACTCTCCAACCTTCTTACTTCGTCTCCATCACTCACCTCCAGCCCATTTTTTTTACGCCCACGCGCGCAATTTTATATAAAAAAATAGCATAAAAATCGAAGTAATCTTCTATAATCATGTATTTAGATTCTGTTAGATTTTTACTTTTCTCATGCGTTTCGTTCGAAATGCGTGAGTTCCCTTACTTCTCACATGCGAGATGCTTGATTATCATGACCTGAATGTTTATTTTCGCGCGTGAAGCACTATATGCAAAAATATCTTGAGCTTACTGAAGTGCAATAACACAGAATAGAAATTCTTTTTCCTCTTTATTTTTTTTGTGCATCCCAAACATGAGAGGTAAGGAGACTCACGAAAATCAATCTCAAACGAATGAAACGCCTATCACGTTCATGTCATTTATTCCGGGTAATTCTTAGAACGAGCGAAAAACTAAAATCATAAGTATACCATGATACATACACACATACGCCCCACGGGCAGCAGTCGAGCACGATCTGTCATTTCAACTTAGCAAAAATTTCTCAGGCATTTCACTGCATCATAACCGTGCTAAAAATTTCAAGCATATCCATATATGAATTTGGACATCTGGTTAAATGTGGTTTCTTACACTGGAAATTCTGTTATATCCAAAATATATTTGGAGTTATGGATAAGTTCTACGTCAATCCTTGTCTGTAAATTTTGTTTTGACGCATATTGGAATTTCAGATAATTCAAGTCGAATTTGCTAAACAAAAATTCCGTTGTGTTCCAATATTTGGAGTTCCGGATATATTCCACGCCAACTCTTGTCTGCGAATCTTGTTCTGTCCGATACAGGGTTGGCCATATTCGACGGAAAGATGTTTTTTTTTTCAATCATGGGAAACGTCGTTACTCGATCTAACATCTCTGTCAAAAGTTACAGTGTTGCCAGATCTTTCCGTCGAATATGGCCAACCCTGTATTTTGGAATTCTAGATAATTCAAGATAAATCCATTTATTATCTGTTTTCAACTGAGTATGAATGCAACAATTACAGATCTATCTTTTATTGGGAAATTTATTCAGAAGTCGTCACTAATTTAAACACAGAAACTTTCATATAAATACCGGATTATTTTATTTCCTGATAAAAATTAGCAAATTTTATGTCGTAAATTCCTTGCAATACTTAACGTATTTGGAATTGTGAATATAAACAGACAACATTTTTATCTGGGAATTCAACTATGCACCATGAAATGGAAATACTTTTATAACCAGATTTAATATTTACTTGGATGAACTTTATGCCAGTTAAAGACTGATTTGTGCATGTTTATCCTGATGTGAGCGTATGTATTTTTTATTTGGACATAACTGGAATTTTTAGCAGGGAACATACTGTAGAAAATGCTACAAAAATTGGACAAAATAATTCAGCATAGATAAAACAAAATTCAATCATTATATGCTGGCACAATATAAACAAAAAATAAATCAAAGTTAGATTTGACATAATGGTTGCGTTCAACAGAACATGACAGTTTTATAATCATTTATTGTTTGTTGAGATAGGATCATTTCTCTTGATTTGAAAGTATAATCCAGTCAGCGCGAAGAAAACTTCCAACAGTTGCAAGATAAACGTTCTGGTGAACGCAACCACCGACGAGATACTATTAAAGATAGCACTTATGATGGAAATTTGCGTGTCTGTTAAAATTTAAATGATTAAGAATAAGAAATCAGTAATACGATATTAATTTCGTGATTTATTAGTTTCGTAGATATGTACATATGTTTGTTGTACCGTTCAGGGTGCCAGCACAGTTTATAGAATTTATGGATCAGCCCCAGTCGTACCGCTCAAGGCGGTACCACTCAGGGCGTGGCGAAATCACAATGATGGCGTTTGGTAAGGGCAGAAGGTTCTGCAATTAATAGGCCAGCGTTCATGGTCAAGAAGTTTTATTGTAGCTTACGAATTCTAAGTGTGTTACAATATTGCATGTCTTAAATATCTCGCAGTAGTGGAGATTCTCAGTAATCATGCTTCCACTTAACTTTCCGGAACGGTCACCTACTTTTGATTACAAAATAGGTGACATACTTTAATTTAATGTAAACACGCATTAATTCGGCCTAATTTATAAACATAAAAGCGTAAGCCCCGAGGTGCTTGAGAATTAATGCGTGGTTGCATTAAATTAAAGTATGTCATCTGTTTTGTAATTAAAAATAGGTGACTTGATTTGTTATGATTTAACTGCTAGTCTGCAGAAAATCCGCAGACGTAGATTTTGGATATGACCTATTTGGATCATAACATCCTTCCCTCGTTGAAAAAAAAACAGAGATTTGACGTTTTTCCGTGAAAATCTCCTTTCTTTTTTACGCGGGAGTGTTACATTCGCCCCGCGATTCTTTTATTTTTTGATAGTATATACAAGTATGCCTTCATACTCGTATTGGAAAATCATCTGCAATTACGTAAATGGGATGCTGTGTTTGGCGTCTATCTAATAATATGGTAGTACTCTATTGTTTAGATTCATATTAATGGTATGTTAAAGTAATTTTAAGATTTTAATAAAATATCTTGTATACTTGATGTATACTTGCTTGTATACTTGATTTTTGAATTGTTTTGCGGTGCACATATCGAGCGTTATTTATTTATATCATTTGTATTATAAAACATTTTTCCTGGATAAATGAACAAATCATTACATAAATATAAATAAATAAATACAATTACCAACAATACTTATATCAATGTATAGCTCGAATTCTCAGGGCACTTACGGAATTATTTTGTTTTTTTTTAGAAAATACAATAGAAATCTAAGAAATAATTGAATTATTCCAATAGGAATATCCATTTCGAATAATGTCGTAATACGTACTCTAATAAACTTTTAAAATTACGTTTGACTTGCTTGACAGTTGATGTCAGACATCACAGACAGATGACAGATGATGATTTGTTCCACGCTTCGAAACAAAGAGAAAAAAGGATACATAGCGGGATCTGACAAAGATGCATAGAGATCAATTGCAACATTATTTATTTTTTCGCAGTTGGGAAGCCTGGATCTACAAATGATACTTCAATTCGCAAAAGGAACGTGGTTTGCCCAAACTGATAGCATATTCAACCCGAGTGGATTTGCACCAACTTAGGTTGGATTAATGACGTTGTATGCTCTCTTATTGGTGGAACACATAACATCAACCAATAGAAGAACATTATTCAACTCAAATGAGAGCAAATCCGTTCGAAAACGCTATGAGCACACCATGGTTTTTCAACTAGGGCTAGTAGAGAGCCTATAATCAGAGTGGCGCCATACGAGAGATGACATCATGTTTTAGCGAAATTCTGCGAGAGAAAAAGAGATATATGGTCTCAATCTATCCAACAGACTGTCAGTTTTAGGGTTAGGTGCAACAGCATTGAACGACATAGATACGTAAAGGTACATTGATAAAAATAAAGTTATCGAAATTATTTTAGAAATATGGTTGGATGTACAATACCGTTTTGTAACAATTCATTAAAAAAAGGATATGTTATGAAAATAATTCCTAAAGAAACACAGAAAACACAGAACGCCGAATGAATTGGTTAAAGAGTATAAATCGCAAATATAAAAATTAGACACCGTCAAAAAATTCATCTGTATGTGAGGTAAAGTAATTTATTTTTTATAAATAATGTATTTAAAATATTAAAATAAAAATGTAACATAAAATATACACAGATTAATTATAATATATGAAGACACGGTAGTGTCTTGGCACTAAGTATAGTCACATTGGTTACGAATTTAATTCTTTCTCTTTTTGTCATAATCTTTTCAATTATATATCATTGCATTGTGAGTCTAAATCAAATAATATGATAATTACGATATTTAATATATAATATTTTATGAAATGGTACATATATAATATCTTTGAATTTTTAATTTCTTTTATTTTATTACAGATGCATTTTGCTCCTAAAATGTGGGAACAGAAAATGGATAATAAACTAGCGCATTTAATAGCGCAAATAATGTGCAATAAATAACGTTTTGTATAAAGTAATGTGCAATATTACAAAATGTACAATATTGCAATAGTACAAAATAAATGAAATTTTATAATAAATAATATTATTTTATATACAATATTTATTTATTATCATTTTTTAATTTGTCACAATTTTTGAGCATTTTTTAGCATGAATTCAAAATTTAAAAAATAATGCATTTAAAAAACTGGAGGGAATGGCTAAACATGGCGGACCAATCACAAGTGATACTCATATGGCGCCAATCTGATTATTTTGTAGGCTACTGGCTAAGACACAAAGATGTTACACTGTGTTCCACTGTAGGCTTGTTTTTCTGTTCCTGCACAAGGATTACACTAGAACTGAACTGAATTGAACTAATGCAATCCAGAACTGACGAGTATAAGCGTGCAGGCAAGGAATAAAAAACGTTTTAAGCCTCGTGAAGTACTGAAAATATGTAAATCGATTTGTACTTAATTGCACTAATTGCTGTAATCATCGACACAATATTACACAACCATACACAGTCCGAGGACTACTAGTCGATTGTGTAGTGTTGTGTCGACGATTACGGCAATTAGTGCAATTGAATGTAAATCGATTTATATATTAATAAATAATTTAATTACTTTAATGTTATGAGGTTATCGTGACAACAAAGAATATGTAATTAAAAGGGTTAAATTATTTATTAACAGTGAAAATATGTGAATTAATTTCCTACGTTTGTGTCAAGATGTGTTAAATAATTAAAAAGAACCCAGTGTAATGTCTCTGTGTCCTAATTGGAAAACAGCCTTATACACTCGTACCTAGCTTTTTGACTGTATCACATGTGTATACGTTGTTGGAAAACATCCCTCCACCATTTGTCAATCCCTTCCACCATGGGTCCGCACACTCCTTCACATGAAAGGGCGCCGGAGGGAGAGGAACGAATCAGATGGAAACGTCATAATACGAAAGAAAAGAAAACTACTAGTATCAGGTCTGCAATAACTTTATTTTTGTCGAACGATTATTTTTCCGAACAGACTCACTAACAGCTCCGAGTACATGGGCATCTCTTAAGATGAAATCACAGTGCGGAAAAGGACTGCGGAATAGAGAATGCATCATTGAAACAATCAATTAGCGCTATTCAGAATAATGCAAAATAACGCTGATTGATCGCTTCTATGACGCATTCTCTATTCCGCAGTCGTTTTGCGCATCGAGTGATTTCACTCTTAGAACGTTTCTTCCCCCCCCCCCCCACATCTATCAACGGCAGCGCAGTCAATAGAAGGGGGCTTTAGGGATGCCTACGGGTAAAACTTAAGACAGATCGCAAAATAGCAGTGCACGTTGTACAGAATGGACATGCGCGAATTACGGTATCCTTCCACTGTCTGACAAAATCGCCACTCCAGTTTTATTTTAAGCGCTGCATGCGAAAGTAATCCTAAGTCCGAACGCGATTTTTTTGTCTCAACTCGATTCTAAATCTAAAAATACCAGTCGTAATACTAAATCTAAAAACATTAATCAAATTTCTAAATCTAGAAATAATTATATTGAGTCATCTAAAAAGTATCCGCGGTTTTTTGTCACTAGATGTGTGTTGATGGTCATATATCTAGTGACAAAGTACTGCGGATACTTTTTAGATCATCCAATAAGTTCTAATTCGTAAGCTCGTAACTTTTCAATTAAATTAGAAATAAATCTGCTCTTGTATATTAACTATTAAACACTGACTAATGTATGGACTATTAAATATCATATATAATAATTAATCCAATTTGAGTTTGCACTTCATGGACATCTCCATTTCCTCGCTAACTCGTTCTAATGTAGTTACGTAGTAATAATGTAACTACTATTAACTCTTTGCGACATAGTATCACACATATGTTATTCCTTTTCTAATATTACATATTACTACAATGAAAAGAACATCAGTCGATAAAAAAAAACCGTGGAAACATTTCTATTATTGACGAAATGTATTTTATAATTAAATAAATTGGAAAAATTTATCCCTTTTTAACACATATATATATATATATATTAGGTGTTGGAATTAATTATTTTTTGAATCATTTTATGAATCTGAAATTAACCTTTGTACGAACGACATACCACGGCTTTCACCCGTGATGTCATGTTTGGCCCAATTTCCTTATCACGAGTCTCACACGATATTGTAAGCGAAAGGATTAATTATACAATATTTTATGGGAAGAAGATCCAGTTAACCTAACCTAATCTACAATTCCAACTTACTGAAGACAACCATATTCCTGGTTAGAAATCGACGCATGCGCACTAAAAATTGGAGACCACATAAAAAGTTAAGTGTCCATACTGTATGTATTTATACTGTGTCTATGGTCAAAATGCGAAAGGAATGCGTATTCAATACATAACTAAGTTACAACGTCACAAGTGAGGATCTGAGAATCGTGATCGAATGTAAATTGAAAGCAATTGTTTTGTTCCAATTCGTGCACATTGCTGCACTTTGTGCATTCTTGTGTACGTTTGTTAAGCAATTGAAAAGCATCTAATGTTATCTTAGAAATAAAAATAGCGATCTCGCGAAATTCTTTTTGTTTTTATCACAATGACAATAAATAACGAGAATGAATAGCTTAGGTTTAAATCTAATTTTAAGAATGGGTTGTATATGCACTAAAGAAATTATTACGATAAACTCAAGGAAATATAAAGTTTGTGAACACCTTGGAGATGGGCAAGTATATATTAAACAACTCATACACGATTATTTGTGGTTAAAAATATAATCTCACATGATTTATTGCATACATAATATATGTTTTATAACAGTGTGTATATAAATTATTTTTAAACAATTATATCTAAACTTATTCAATACAAGAAAAACAAGATTTTCTTTATGCAAAACAATATTTACAGTATCTTGTATAGAACAATAACTTTTATAGAAAAATTAATAATAGAAAAATTAATAATAGAAAATTAATAAAAATGTGTGACAGCTGGTAGCACAAATAAGGTTTACATTATGTTTCTAGTGGATTTAGCACAGTACTTTTAGTTGAAGATATTGTCACACATAAAAAATATGCTATTAAGAAAATTATTTGTCATGGACCAGAAGATCAACAATTAGCAACAAAAGAGGTTGAATATTATAAATTGATAAAACATCCAAATGTTATAGAATGTTTAGATTCAACTTGCAAAGGTACTGCAGATCCAATCGTGAATACAACAAGCGAAATATTAATTGTTTTACCATATTATCATGTAAGTAACTATGATTTTTAAAAAATATATTATTTCACATGTAATACATTTTATAATAAACCAATTTATTTTATTGTAATTTTAGAAAGGAACATTAGCTAATGATTTGGAACGACGAGCAAAGAATTGTGATTATATGAATCCTATAGATATCCTCAGCATATTTTTACAGATATGTGAAGGCGTAAAAGCATTTCATGAAGCTAAACCAGAACCTCTTGCTCATAGAGATTTAAAAACTGCAAATATAGTGCTTAACGATGTTGGAATACCTGTTATTATGGACTTGGGTACATTAAATTTTATTATGGACTTGGTTAGGTGGCATGAGTGAAAGCATGTGTGTTTGAAAAGAGATGAAACACTTTTAATGTTTTCAGGACAATAAATTATGTAGGTAAGATGATTATGAATAAATCAGATTGATAGGAGGATATAGAAGTAGAGAAAGTGTAGGAGAACTAAGCTATAAAGTAGGAAGGTAGAATAGGGGTATTAAAGGAATAGATAATAGAGAAAGATTAAGATTATAATAGAGAAAGATGAAGGTAACGAGAAGATATAAGTAAGGCAAGTAAAGAAATTAATTATAGATATATCAGAAAAGGACAAGAAGGCAGCATCTTAAAGCCATGACACAAAAAAAGAACTTAAGACGTAAAACTTAAGGAGTAAGTGTATCGACCAATCATGAGCTTTTTACAATATTACCTAAGTTTTAAGTCTTAAGCTGTAAAAAATTGACCAAATCACAATCAAATGTAAGAAAAATAATCAATTATGGTTGATCAATTTTTTATGGCTATTTACAAAAATGAAAAACTAATAACGTTATAAATTATATTAAAAGTTATAATTTAAAAAATAAAAAGTTATAGCATTATAAATTACTAATATAAATCAAGTAGTGTTGAATCAAGGTCCATTATGGATGAATCAGCCCATGAGATAAAGCCTTTTGGAGCCAAATACAAGATATTGATGTGCAATAAAATTTATTTATTCACATATCTTAAAGTTAAATCAATCAAATCAATCATACGTTTCGATTTCTGATCCTTTTCAATATCATATTCATTAAACGAAATCAATAAACTTCCCGGTGCACTGTACAATGATAATTAAAACATTAACTATATAATTATATAATATTAATATACTACAAAAATTAATTAATAATCTACTATATTAAAAATCGTAAAAATAAATTTATGGTTAGATCTTGATCTTACATGATTTTTGTTAAGAAAATTGACATGTCATTAAGGATCAAAACATATGATTGATTTGATTGATTTGACTAACTAAGATATGTGAATAAATAAATCTTCATATGTTTTTTATTTTTGTTAATTTCGAGTGTAACTTTAGGAAAATAATCATAAGATTTCATAAAAAAATGGGAAAATTGAAAAATTAATTTTCTTTTACTCACCTTAGATGTATATATCCTTTTGAGTCTGAAGCCATAAGAAATTGATCAGTCAAGTATTTTTCTTACATTTAATTGTGGGATTTGTGATCATTTAGAATATTAATTTTACGTCAATTTTCTTATTCTCTCATTCTCCTTATTCTTGTCTTTGTCTTATCTTGGTAAAAAATTTTTCATGCATGAATATGTATAAACATACATAAATATTCATAAACATGTATAATCATATAATATGTATAATCATGAAATATGTCCATATATGTTCATACATATATGTGTTCCATGTATGTTCCTCTTTCTTTTGTAAAATTATTTTTTAGTACAATATAATAGAAATAATAATAGTA